AAGCAGGGAAATATGGTAGTTATAACCGATAGAGCAACAATCAATATAAATAAGTATAACCTTTCTAAAGAAACCGAATACATGATGTTACAGCCATGTTTTTGGGGATGTTGGACTTGATAGCTGTCACACCTTGCAGCTAAATCTTGGCGCTAAGGCCTTGTACCGTGCTGATAATAGAGTTTGGCCCAATAGGCTTGTTTTGATGTACGATAGAGTAGGGGAACAAGTTTGGTGCAAAATGGCGCAACTGTTTGGTACAAAATGACGCAACTGTTTGGTACAAAATGACGCAACTAGGCCTGCAGGTAATATTATAAAATCTTTTAAGACTATGGCATGCCGTAATGTAGATAATAGGAGAGAAAGAAAGCCAACCACAATGCAACCTCATACAAAGTAAAACTTTTTCTGCACACAGCTTCTTTCTTTCAGTCTAGCTGGCTTTGTGGTCGCCTGTGGAAACACCTTCAACAAGTGCCCATTGAAGGGTTGTTCTTGTGACAAGCTCTGTCTACACAGAGCTGCTTGAGAATGCCTGCAAGCTAAGGATATTATCGCACTTTCAGCCAATAGAAACTCTTCCTGGTTGACACACAGCTGAAGAGTTCCTTCTTTGTTTGCATTGTTGTCCATAGACACTGATTTTGGGCACACAAAATAGACGCGACATAGCTATAGTCAGGATGTGAAATAAACTTCCCTTGATATGAGCTTTTATAATGAGATGGGTGCATCAATATTTCCACTTCACTGGCTATAGTCGAGCAAGAAATGCACCTGTGCATCATTACGTTGCCATTTTCAGATGGCGATGCCACTACATCTGCTCTGGCGGTTGGCTGTTGCTAATGACGTGAACGTGTTTCAGTTTCGTGCTCAGTCGATTTGGTTCACAGAACATGCTTTTTGAATAACATCTTGGTGCCACGAAATCAATCGGAGACATAAAATTTATTACAATCAGCCAAACAACGGAAAAATATCAAGCCACCTATGCTCATGGCAATACTGTAAGTTATGTCATACATGTCAGTACACAACAGCTAGATGCACAGTTTTGCTTTAACGTAGTATAGAAAACATTGTACAACAAGTCTAGGGGTCACTGTGCAAGAGGAAATGTGTTCTTTTTGGCCATGCTGACACTACCTTTTAACAAGCAAAAGCATTATTTGGCAGATTTGCGAAAGTGGGCTTGCATCTAGCATTTGGAAAAGCTATGTGCAAAAAACACGTCACACCTCCCATTAGAACAGACGCCAGCGCTAATTGCCAAAGAAATCACTAGGAGTCGTACAGTAAGAGAGGGAAACCCACAAAACAGATGAGAAAATTTAGACTCAGAGAGAATGTGCTTCTGTCCTCCACATTAGTTGGGCCTTAAAAAGAAGGTGCTGAGAATTTAGTATTGTAATGAATCTGAATGACGGACACTCAGCTGTTACAGAAGAAGACTATGATGATCGGTGGCTGTGGTAGTAGCTCGCGCACGCACTTGCCGGTAGCCAGATCTGCCTCATAAAGCCCCTTTCGCCAAGCTGCGTCTGAACCTTCCTCGACGTACAACACCTCTATTTTAAGTGGTGGAGAAGCCAGGGTTCACATCAACCTGGAACTTCGCAATCGAACGCTACCCTCACCGTTCACCATGACTGCTTCAGGCCCTTCTCAAGCTGCCCCACCAACGACAGTCTTCTGTACTGGCGTGACTCGGCAATGCGACCCATCAATTTTTCGAGTCAACGACGAACGAGACGTCGAGGACTGGTTCATTAAGTACGAAAGCATAAGCACTTCCGACAAATGGACCTGTGACCAGCTCACGAACGTGCGCTTTTACCTGGCTGATGGGGCCAGCCTCTAGTTCAAGAACCACAAAGGCGAAATAACCAACTGGTCCGCCTTCGAGACCACCATCGTCGCGGACTTCGGTCGTCCTGCTGCGCGCCGGCTTCGTGCGGTACAGCGTCTGCGTAGTCGAGTCCAGTGCAAAAACAAGACCTTTACGAGTTACATCGAAGATGTCTTGTCTCTTTGCAAGAGCGTCGATGCATCTCTAGCCGAACATGACAAAATCAAACATATCATCAGAGGAGTTGACGACTTTTCAGATGCTCGTCGCTAGGAACCCACAGACTGTCACCGACGTTGTCCAGCTTTGTCAGGAGTACGACGCGTCCAAACAGCGGGTCAGGACGCGCAGGGCTGCTGAAGGTACAGCTGAAGTTCCCCCCCTCGTGCACGACGTCGCTGCTGATCGCATCGTCTTACTGCCCCACATCAAACAATTCATCCGTAAAGAAGTTGCGCGTCAACTTTCCCTTGTGGCCGAAGCATTCAAGCCAGTGACCTTATTAGACCCATGTCCATCCCAGGTCATTGAGACACAGGTCACGCAGTCACTGCCTTCATCACCACCTGTCCCTACGTCGCTGACCTACGCTGCTGTCGTTGCTAGACCACCGGCCCCACCTGTCTCAGAGGTCCCTTCGAGTTTTAATTAACGAGACCCGACTATCTGCTTCACCAAGCCGAGAAAATTGCACATGCAATGGATGGCCCACTGACAACAGTTTGTGGACGTCACGCAGTACGGACACACAACCAATGCTGGTGACGCCATGGCACCGAAAAGCGGTGCATCACCACCTAACAACAAGCCTTCGCTCAGCAGCATTCAGGTGGAATTTTTTTATTGATTTCAGGAATTATTTAGCTTTTTTATTATTTCATGAATTATTTGAACACTTTTGATGCTTTTAAGCACCCATCCTAACCATAGCATCACGTCATGGGTTTGTAGTGTGGAAAATCATTCTGGAGCACAACAACAGTTGAGGGACTATTCGCTGTGCTCACACAGCCCTGATTGAACAAGAGAGCTCTACCTTTGACAGCACTACCAGCAGCTTGTTAAATGGAGTATACTTGCCAACCACCAACTGCAAATTTTCCAAGTCACGACAAGCACAACTCATACTAGCAAAGTATGAAAAACATTAGAATTCTCTCAAATGGTTGCATTTTTAAATGACGGCTCGTAAAAGAAAGGTTGTGAGATGGTGCACAACTACAGCGGAACCCCAGTTATACAACTTTTAGGGGACCAGACAGAACCGTCCTATAACCCGGGCCTCGTATAATCGAAAAACTAAAATTATAGACTGTGACATTCAGCCTTGCCCGAAAAATGGGTACAGACTGCCTGAATAAGCCCCCGGCACAACCTTCTGCCTCTGCATTGAGGGTAGATTAAATTATTGTTGGCAGTGGTAGCTAATAGCAGCAATAATTAGTTAACGGAGGTCCGAGCGAATCTTTATTCTCAGCCTTGAAAACAATCAAATCGAACGTGCATCGTTCTACCGATAAATAGAGTCCGAAAATTGCCTGCACGTGAAAACAAAACCGAAACCATGTCGCCGTGAGCCTCTTGTCAAAAGAGCCAGACGCAGTATCATCGCTATCGTATAATGCCAACGGACAATGAGTTTATGTACGATGCGTTCGTGCGCGACTCAGCTGTGCGCATTGTAATTTGTTGCCTCGTGAAGTGCAACTAGTGGTGTTCCGCTGTTTTTATGAATGTTGACGTCAACTGATATTAATTTTGCACGACGAAAGCAGCTGCGTTGTGTCCTTATGCGTGCGCAAACCAGTGACTGCAAGTGTGACAGAGGCAAGAGATCGGCCGTTTGTCGACCAGGAAATATTTCCACGGACCAAAAAAAATGAAAATAACAGGTTTTTGGTCAGCTGAACTTACTCTATGTAGATAAAGCTTGACTAGGTAACGACCCTGCATATGTATGCACGCGACTGAGGCGTATGTAGAAGTGCATGAACCTCCAGGAGAATAAATTTTCAATTCGATGAAGATGACCCTACTTTTCCTGTAATCCTCCTTGGGGTACATAAGTTCAAATTGTGCACTCGCGAATATTGGGTCGACATGCGGTTTGAGTAAAGGTGTCTTTTTTTCTTTCCGACGGAACTTGAAAGTCTTAAGATGCGCGGTCGACATAAAACTGTGTAGCATAACCAAGGTGTTTAATACAGAGGACTTTCAGTAAACGGAATTCTGTTAAACGGAACTGCTGCTTAAATAGAGCAAGTGCCTCTGATATGATTGGTTTCATCTCTGCATACTGCACCCCAGTTCAACTCTCAGTATATGGAACGCCCTGTTGAAAAGAACACATTTTCCTGGCCTCTTCAGGTTCCATTTTTTGAGAGTCCACTGTACATTGTTTCTTTGGGGATTTTGTCGGGACCAAACCGATTCGTTCTAAAATGCAGGCCTGTCGCGAAACCAGGGAAGCTCACAGTACCGTACACTCATGTCTACTGTGCCTACTCAGTTTCTGACTACACATAAGTACGGTGATGGCAAACTGCCTTTATTCCTCAAAGTCATGCATCTGTCCAGCGATACTCAGATTCATATATAAGGTGCAATACTTTAGAGGCTAGCGACACGTCTTGCAGTAAATGTTTTTGCATGTTCAATCTTTGCTTGGATTAGGAGCCTTTTTTTTTTAGTTCTTAACACTGAGTAATACACGAAGATGTTTCGTGCCTTATAAAAAAACTTTGGTTATATGGCTAATATAATGTTCCACATCACCTCATCACCACACCACTGCGGTATTGCTGTTTTCAGTTTCTGGTATCTTATTTGCAGCCAGTCGCAACTCCTTACACACAGGTTTGGCTTGCGGGAGCACTGACTACCACACAAGCCAACCACAAAACATGTGATTTTGCATATCTGCTGACTAAACTTCTTGCAATGTTTCCCCAGTCAGCGCCTGTGTGCGAAATTTGACACCAAGAGACAGAAGTGAAATGAGGCGGGGCACGTTTCGGTTGTTGCCTATCAAAAAGCTGCGGTATGCACTGCGCCAGGCCACATATGCAACCTGTGTTTTGAAGAGTGTATTCCCTCAATTCAGCGCAGCCACTTGACAAAAATCTGGGTGAAAGAAAAGAGTCACCATGCTTGGCAGCAGTCCCGTGCTTGTGCTGATATACAGTTGGCGCTGAAGCTGGTGCTACAGGTGCACCTGTCACAGCACTGGCTGGTGCAGCTACAGTGGTGGTTGGTGTCAGGCTGTGCTCTAGTCCACCAGCAAGGCGTGCCACGTGTGCCTCCACGGAATCATACACCGATTCCTCACTGGGAAAACCAGGCACTCTCGGAGCAGCTGTCGTGGGCACTGCTGGAGCAACTGTTGGAGGTGGGGCGGCAGGAGGTGGCGTAGGCACAGGTGCGGCTTGTGGCTCGTGTTCTTTATGCAGTACGTCTGGCTGACTGAACAGCGCAGGCTCGTCGGTGAAACTCTCGCGCCGAGGCCTTTTTTTGGCCTCGGGTGTGGTCCGCACTACCTTCACTACCTTGCCAAACGGCGAAATGGGCTGCACAAGAAAAGAGGACACAAAGGCACAATTTAGAGCTGAGAAGTGGGACAAGAGAACGACAAAGCTTTTTTCAGAGTCTGCCCCGAGCACTATGACCAGATCTTTCTCTTTTACCAGTGGAATTACGAACTGGTTGGCTTTTACAGGGCAGGTGCTGTGGCCGATATCCTAGCAGCACACCTAAAATTCATTTCAACTTGCGTTCAATGCATGAGTGCAATCTCTTCAATTTACAATCTTCATTGTGCTTAGGGGAACCTTTTCGAAACAGCATGCCAACCCACAGCCAAGGCCTAATGTACGCTATCTGCCTAATCCGTAGTAAGAAATCAAAGTTCTTGTTCGGTCACCCAAGAAAAGAGGATTTGCATCTACATGGAAAGGAAGGTTTGGATGGCATGCATAACAGTTGAATGACAGTCGGCCATTTCCAATAGATTACTATATCTAAGATAATTACAAGTTGGGTTCAACTGTACAGCCAAACCCATTAGTGAGTAAGTGATGACAATGGTGTGTAGATTTTAGTGGCACAAAGGACATGCTAGGCCAAAGAGCTTTATGAAAGGTGATGTAACGATAATGATTTTATTTACAATGACATTCAGGAGATGTGAAGTCGCAAGCAATGCTTGTCATGGTAAGTGGCGGTATAGGGGCCTAAAATTCCTCAACCTGGAGGCGGGTAAAACGTAGAAGTATTCAAATTGTGGAAGTGATGTCACTTGTGTGCTGTGAAAACAAATGACACGTGGTCGTGGCAACCAAACTATGGAAACGTTGGGTAAACAGGAATGCAGTGATGCTACCGAGGTCCGCTGATTTGGAGCAATTTTGGGAGCAGCATGAGCTTTGACTTTAAAAGGGTGTGATCGCTGGAGCGCTCACTATTTTGCCACTTATCTAAAGCAGTATGCGTGCCACTTATCTAAAGCAGCGGAACGCATGCCTGTCGACGATGTTGTTGGCCGTGGCTTTTATCTCACGTTAGCTACAAGCATCCGTTGATGCTTGAATTATAGCACAAGGACTTAATACGCAGCATAACTATGTTTGGCATCATTACGACATCTCTCTTTACATATTTCTGAAAACAAAACAAAAAGTACGGCAGCTGGAGCAGCTGGCTGGGAGCTCTAGACAAGTCTGATTCTATCTGTACGTGCGTCGGCGTGCAAGAGGTGTTCCGGGGGTATTTATTCATCAAAGTTGCTGTACGGATATCAAACACCGCGCGTGGAGAAAGCTTTCTATGCGCGCGGACCTTTGAAATGGCAATTCCGCCGCTAGAAAACATTGCGGATAACTTCAAGCCTTATTATTTGTTATAAAAATACAACTTGTTGGTATCACAATCATTGCTAAGAGCTTTAGTGATAGTAGTAACAAATTTTATCTTTTGGACTCGATATCTCGATAAGAAGTCAAAAGAACGCTGGCTAAAGAGAAAATGATCACTTCAGTTGCTGAAGCCGTTTTCGTGCTGTCAGTCAGAGTTAAACCTGCTTATAACAAATTTACATATAACAAATTTTTTCTATTCCCCACCGTTGCTCCATAGAAGCACATGTATTCGTAATGTCTATGTAACAAAGTAACATGGGGAGAGAACCATGATATAACGAATTTTCCCTACAGACAAGCTAAGAATTTTTCTCCGCATTTTGGCACTTTGGTACAAGCATTCATCTTCCGCGACTACCCCGCCGCCGCCGAAGCGGGCGGTGCGCACGACGCACCAGGCGAGAGCGAGCGCTAGTCGTTGCATGCAGGTGAACGCTAAATAGGCAGCAGGCAAGCCTGCTCCCCTACGAGCCGGCATTGCAGCTGTTCTTGCCGTCACGTGCATATGCGCAGGTGTGCGTGTTTCTCCACACTCACACACTGCAAAACAAAATAAAAAAAGAAAACTACTTTTGCGCTTTGGCAGTGCCACGCTTTCATATATGCAGGGCTGCGCTGCACATGGAGGGCGCTTTATCGAATAGCTTTCTGCGGTAACCATGTTTGTGTACATGTCTTTCACTCTTCGCTTGCGATGCCATGCGTGCGCGTTTATGTTGTGGCCCCTGACGGTGTTCAACTTTGCTTTTTTTCATTATTATGAATAGCAATTATATGAACAGTCTCTGCTGGTTTTTTGGCGTCGTCGCCCCCACAGTCATTCAATGTACAGTACTCATAACGTAAGTCGCGGGAGTCGCGAATATCCGCACTATAAGCAATACCGCACTAGAACCAAAACAACTTTTTTTCAAGGGCCGCACTTGTGCGAAACGTGTTGAGCAAGCAGCTTCACGTGTCTGAGAATCTAAACATGCGATGCGTACTTGCTAACATTTAAATTTCTAAATGTCAAAGAATTTAACAAGCGTTGACAATGAAATGAACGGGAAAGGGGGGAAGGTGTCTAACAAATGAAAGCACCATCGCGGAAATTCGCCAACTACCAGACCGCCTCGACTATGGGCGATACACTTGAAACCATGTCAAATCGCGGCCAGAATTTGACGCGTTGAAAGATGCCAACCATTTGATTTCACGGGCGCGCACCCTATTTAAGGGGGTGGCTACCCTGGATACCGAACTTTTTCATTTTTTAAGATATCTGGATGAAACTTTCAGGGGTTGTTCAATACAATAAAACTAGCACAACTGCTAATTTTCACGAAGCTGTGTTTCTTAGTTCTAGAGTTATTGAGGTTTAACTGGGTGCTTCACATGGGTGCCTGAGGAAGAGTCGTGAGAAATCCCAGGACATAGTAGAAAGCTGAAATCATTGTGGTCATTCCTTGATTCCTTGTTAGCTATCCCAGGGCGCTACAAAGCCGTTTTTTTTTTAATTCTCCCCCCCCCCCCAAAATTTTCACGCAACTTTGAATTTGATGTAACCAGTAATGACCAGATTCATCAAAAATTAATTGTTTATTATAAATTAACAGCACCAATTTTCAAAAAAAGGAGCTTATTACGCCCTTGCAAGGTCATTCAGGAACAGAATAAAAAAACGGCACACAAATCTGATGAACGGTTTTCGAGTTCTTGCTTTCCTCAGCACCACAACTAGCAAAAAAATCCGTTCTGAGAAAACACGCCGAAAAAGTTCAAAACACGTGTTTTCTTCAAAAAGCTCCAGCACAGTAGCTAGAAGTGTCCTGGCGCACTCTTTTCTTCTTTTGCCTGGCCTCCATCTTCTCTTGGTGTCTTTTAGAATTCTTTTTTAGGCGTAAAGCGTCTTTTTCACGAGCTCGCTGGATGGCCAGATGACCTGGTTGAAGTCCAATGGAGCCCGATATCACTTGGGTTGCTTTGCAGCAGCCGGCATTGTAGCGCAGCACTGCTTCATGCAGTGCTGTTTCTACCACGATCAAGGATGAGTGTTGTTCCTTCGGCATCAGAGACCACAGAATGGAGTGGAATGATTCTGATGCATTTTGCGTCTTCGCTCCCAGGCAGCGCTGAAGAAGCGACTTTTGTGACAGTCTTTTGTAGATGGGCAGCATAGCTGCAGCGACATAGTACGGTAGGCTGTGTTTATGTTTTGGCTGTGGCTCACGCTTTGCCTCTGCAGCTCTATGGCGGCACCACGATTGAGCCCCCTCTGGGCAAAGTTCATGGTGAGGGTCCTGGTCAGTCGATGTGACGTGGTGATATGTTGCCATCACTGCACGCTGCATGGCTGTTAGGTCAGTTGAATTGTTTCTCAGGGAGGGCCCAACCATAATATCCTGTCAGCTTTTCAATGAGGGCTTTAGTCAGCTTCCCCTTCCCACTCAGTGGCTTATCACTTTTCTGCACAATGTTTCGAAGAGCACTTCCAATCCTTTTCTGAACATGGTTCAGACATTCTTCTTTTACAATTAGCACTAGCCCGTACACATTCTCTTCTGTGAGGGCAGCGAAGATACAGCTGTCTCCGTCGGACACAAGAGTGGTGTACCGCAGACCATGCTTGGATACAGACCGCCCAAAGAGAGTCAAGCCTGCCTCCACTTCCATGCTTCCCGATTTTGCGTCTGTGTTTTTCTGGCAAATGTGGTGCTTCTGCCAGCTTTCGTATGCTGCATCTCCAGGTTTGGGCCTTGTTTGGCATCCAAGGCAGTGGTTTGAAAGAACTACAGCATCCAAGATGAGACCTGTAAAGAAGTCAATTACCGATCCCACTCCGATGTGTGATGTGTGACCCCGCTTATGCCATGTGCCATCGTACACTACGGTGATGTCCTTGCAGAAGCTGGGGTCCATTCTTTATATGTTTTGATCACTGCTGTGGCAGAATCAACATAAAACTTCTCCAAAGCGGTGGCCTCTGGCTTCCTGAACGTCTCTTTCAAGTGCTTTTGAAACGTCTTGTGGTGAAGACCTCTGTAAGAGACGTTCATGGCAGCCCAAAAGTCATTAAGAGCTGTTTGCACCTTGCCTATTTGCTTTATAGCCATTATGGCACGGACATTTACATCGAAGGCCTGCGTGTCCTTTTTGCGGGGTGATGTCCATAATTTATCGACGGTGCCACAAGAGGCGCACACGACTTCAAGTTTTGTTGCAAGTCCAAGCTTGGTGCTCTCTCGGACAGTCATAGCACCTTTCAAACATTCTTTGCACACTGTGCGGCTGAGCACCACGTTAAAGATGTTCATTTGAACGAGCGAAAAATGTTCGCCCTCACTTGTCACTGCAGGTGCAAGAGCCGGCTGCATCAGTTGAAATTTCTTCTGCGTCGCCGGCGTAGACTCGAGTTCAGCGCGAACGGCGTCACGACGTTTCAATTCGCATCGATTCTCGACTGGCGACAGCCGACAACACAGTTCCGTCGCTACAAGCGTCTACGCAGTCGGCACCCGCAGCAGAATAGAGGAATTTCGATGATCGTACAAGCTGCATAGCGCGCCTCCACGCACCGGACTTACGCACTGACTTCGGCTTCGTTGCCGGCATCGCCCGCAACAACAAAGACGAAAGGCACAGAACTAGTGCAAAAAGAAAAAAAAAAAAAC